TCAATCTATCTATTTTTCGATTCCTCGAATTTTCAATTTTTACATTCTTCAATTTTTAGCTCTTAGGACTTTTTCGACCATTTTTCAACTATTTTGATATTTGCGGAACATAATTATCCCCACCCACCCACCCTGTCTCCCTTTCAGTGATTGATATTATCGGTCAGAATGAAATGAATAACCTTATACTTAACAGAAATAAAATTAGTCGTTAGAATGAGAAGAGGGTGGGTGGGCGGGGCTAGTACTTGCTAAGATAAAACTGATTTAGGCAAATGACATATCCTCTAAGAAAATAGTGGGTGGGTGGGAGGGGCTAATATTTGACAAGATGAGACTGATTTTGGCACTTGACATTTTCGACCATTTTTCAACTACTTTCAAAATGTAACTGAACACATTTTCTTGTAGATTTCGATATTCAGAAGCTATTTTCAGCTTCGTTGTAGTATTTTCGACTTTCGATATATCTTTTTTCTATATTTCGATTCTTTGATTTTTAGATTTTCAAATTTCGGTTTTCCGATTTTTTTCGATATTCGAATTTTCAGTTGGTTTCATTCCTGTTCAATTTCTCAATTTTTAAAGTTTTCGAATTTTTGATTTGTGATGTACTTTCAATTTTTTCGCTCTTCAGTTTCAGACTTTGAAATTTTTTTTACTTTTCGTTCTTTCGATATTCAAATTTTCAAGTTTTCTACTTTTCGATTTTTTTATTTTTCGAGTTCTCGATTTCTCGATGTTTCAATTTCTCAGTTATTCGGTTTTTCAACTTTTCGGCTTTTCGATTTTTCATATTTTCAATTTCCCAAATTTGGAATTTTCCATTTTTCGATATTAGAATTTTCGACTTTTCGACTTTCGATATACATATCTTTCTTCTGTATTTCGATTCTTCGATTTTTAGATTTTCAATTTTCGGTTTTCCGATTTCTTGGATTATCATGTTTTCGAATATTTGGTTCATCGAATTTTCGTTTTTTTCCGTTATTCGAATTTTCAATTAGTTTAATTCCCTTTCAGTTCCTTGATTTTTCAATTTTTCAATTCTTCAGTTTTTAAAATTTCCGCATTTTCGAATTTTTGATTTGTGATTTTTTCAATTTTTCCGCTCGCTTATTTAGACTTTCAATTATTTTAACTTTTCGAATTCCCAAATTTTCAATTTCATTCTTCAGTTTCTCGATTTTTTATTTTTTACTTTTCAATTTTTCTTTTAATTTCTTGATGTTTCAGTTTTTCAATATTTCGATGTTTCGATTTCTTTGTTATTATATTTTTCAACTTTTCGGCTCTTCAATTTTTAAAATTTTCGGTTTTCCAAATTTGCAATTAACGATATTTTCATTTTCCGATTTCTTAAATTTTCAAGTTTTCTATTATTTCGTTCATCGAATTTTCGATTTTTTCGATATTCGAATTTTCAATTGGTGTCATTTCATCTCGATTTCTCCATTTTTCCATTTTCAATTTTACAATTTTTTTAATTTTTCGACTTTTCAGTTTTAGACTTTTCACTTTTTTTGCTTCTTGATTATTCGATATTACAATTTTCAATCATTTTATTTTTCGAATTTTCAATTTTTCAATTTTTACATTCTTCAGACTTTCGATTTTTCATGACAGATTTTGGCACTTTTGACATTTTCGACCATTTTTCAACTACTTTCAAAATGTAACTGAACACATTTTCTTGTAGATTTCGATATCCAGAAGTCATTTTCAGCTTCGTTTTGGTATTTTCGGTCTTTCGATATTCAAATTTTCAATTTTTTTACTTTTAGATTTTTTGACATCTCGATGTTTCAGTTTTTCAATCATTTGGATGTTTCAATTTCCCAGTTATTCGATTTTTCAAATTTTCAATTTCCCAATATGGAATTTTCAATTTCCCAATTTGGAATTTTCAATTTTTCCATTTTTCCAAATTTCAACTTTTCGACATTCAATATAATTCAAATATTTATTTTTTTTTCTATATTTCGATTCTTGGATTTTTACATTTATGATTTTCGGTTTTTCGGTTTCTTGGATTTTCAAGTTTTCTATTATTTCATTCATCGAATTTTCAATTTTTACGTTATTCAGTTTTTAAAGTTGTCGGTTTTGTTTTCTTTTCGATTTTTCAAATTTTCAATTCCATTCTTCAGTCTTTCCATTTTTTAGGACAGATTTTGGCTCTTTTGACATTTTCGGAACATAATTTCCTCACCCACCGACCCTGCCTTCTTTTCAGTAATTGATTTTATCAAGAGGGTGGGTGGGCGGGGCTAGTACTTGCTACGATAAGAGTCATTATGGCAAATGAGACACTCTCTAAGAAAAGAGAGGGTGGGTGGGTGGGGCTAGTATCTGCTAAGATAAGACTGATTTTGGCAAATAAGAAACCCTATAAGAAAACAAAGGGCGGGTGGGCGGGGCTAGTATCTGCTAAGATAATACTGATTTTGGCAAAAATATGCTCTAAGAAAAGAGAGGGCGGGTGGGCGGGGCTATACTTGCTAAGATAAGATTAATTTTGGCAAATGACGTACCTTCTAAGGAAATAGAGGGTGGGCGGGAGGGCGGGGCTAATATTTAATAAGTTAAAACTGATTTTGGCACTTTTGACATTTTCGACCATTTTTCAGCCTTTTTCGGGTATTAGTTGGACATCTTTTGAACATAATTAGCCCCAAATTATGTCTTTTTTTCTACATTTCGATTCTTCTTTTTTTAGATTTTCGATTTTCGTTTTTCCGATTTCTTGGATTTTCAAGATTTCTATTGTTTCATTCATCGAATTTTCAATTTTTTTTCGATATTCGAATTTTCAATTGGTTTCATTTCTTCTCGATTTCTCCAGTTTTCTATTTTCAATTCTTCGATCTTTTCAATTTTTGCACTTCTCAGTTTTAGACTTTCCAATTTTTTTACTTTTCGATTCTTTGATATCTCGATTTTCAGTTTTTCAATATTTGGATGTTTCAATTTCCCAGTCATTCGATTTTTCAAATTTTCAATTTCCCAATTTGGAATTTTCAATTTTCTATATATTTTTTTTTACTTTTAGATTATTCGGTTCTTTAATTTTCGACTTTCTAATTTTTACGTTCTTCAGTTTTTAGAGTTGTGGGTTTTTTTTCTTTTCGACTTTTCAAATTTTCAATGCCATTCTTCAGTCTTTCTATTTTTTAGGACAGAGTTTGGCTCTTTTGACATTTTCGGAACGTGATTTCCCCACCCACCCACCCTGCCTCCTTTTCAGTGATTGATTTTATCCGATCTGAATGAATCTTATACTTAACAGAAATAAAATTAGTCATTAAAATGAGAAGAGGGTGGGTGGGCGGGGCCAGTACCTGCTAAGATAAGATTTATTTCAGCAATTTACATATCTTTTGAAACTTCGACTTTTAGATTTTTTATTTTCGTTTTTCCGAGTTCTTGGATTTTCATGTTTTCGAATATATGATTCATCGAATTTTCGATTAGTTTCATTTCTTTTTAGTTCCTTGATTTTTCAATTTTTCCGTTCGTTAGTTTTCGGCTTTTCAAATGTTTTGCTTTTCGGACTTTCGATATTCAAATGTTCAATTTTTTTACTTTTCGATTTTTTGATATCTCGATATTTCAGTTTTTCAGTATTTGGATGTTTCAATTTCCCAATTTGGAATTTTCAATTTTTCCATTTTTTCAATTTTCGATTTTTGTTTAATTTTGATTTTTCGATTCATTATGTTACGACTTTTCGACTTTCTATATTTCTTGTTTTCCTATATTTCGATTCTTGGATTTTTACATTTACGATTTTCGGTTTTTCGGTTTCTTGGATTTTCAAGTTTTCTATTATTTCATTCATCGAATTTTCAATTGGTTTCATTTCTTTTCGGTATCTAGATTTTTCAATTCTTTTTTTCCACTTCCCAGTTTTAGACTTCTCAATTTTTTACTTTTAGATTATTCGATATTCAAATTTTCAGTCTTTTCATTTTTCGATTCCTCGAATATTCAATTTTTACATTCTTCAATTTTAGCTCTTAGGACTTTTTCGACCATTTTTCAACTATTTTGATATTTGCGGAACATAATTATCCCCACCCACCCACCCTGCCTCCGTTTCAGTGATTGATTTTATCCGGTCAGAATGAAATGAATAATCTTATACTTAACAGAAATAAAATTAGTCGTTAGAATGAGAAGAGGGTGGGTGGGTGGGGCTAGTACTTGCTAAGATAAGATTAATTTTGGCAAATAACATACCTTCTATGGAAATAGAGGGTGGGTGGGCGGGGCTAATATTTGATAAGTTAAAACTGATTTTGGCACTTTTGACATTTTCGACCATTTTTCAGCCATTTCCGGATATTAGTTGGACATTTTTTGAACATAATTAACTCCAAATTATGTCTTTTTTTCTACATTTAGATTCTTCTTTTTTTAAATTTTCGATTTTCCGAGTTCTTGGATTTTCAAGTTTTCTATTGTTTCATTCATCGAATTTTTGATTTTTTTTCGATATTCGAATTTTCAATTGGTTTCATTTCTTCTCGATTTCTCCATTTTTCCATTTTCAATTCTTCGATTTTTTCAATTTTTCCACTTCTCAGTTTTAGACTTTCCAAGTTTTTTACTTTTCGATTATTCGATATTCCAATATCTTCAGACTTTCGATTTTCCATGACAGATTTTGGCACTTTTGACATTTTCGACCATGTTTCAACGTTATTCAAAATGATTTTCATCTAGTCGCCTATGGGTGCAGATTTTCATCAAGCGAAAGATAGGAGTTGAAGCGATTTCAAAGCTAGATGAAAATAATTTTGAAACGTCTTTTATATACCCACTAAATTTTGCTTACGTGAATTTATAGCGCTTAGCTCTTGCAGCGTAAATTAAGCGAGAAACACTCATTCCAAGATTTCCAAGAATAAAAAAGGTAAAAAACGTACGAATCATCAAGTCATCACACAAATGTTCTAAAAAGAGGTAGGGGGGCTACTACACGCATGCGGCGTGATAAGAAAGTGACGTTCAGCTGTTCGTTCTATGGCTAATTCATTGAACCTACGAAACGCACACATAAAAATACGGAGCTACGACATGGCTACGACCGTACGAATCCGTAAAGTATAAAGATACACCTTTCAACCGAGTGCGAGCTCATCCTCAATTCCTAATTATATTTTCACCATGTTATGATCACTACTGGCCTTAGTTCGACTAGTGTTCGGCTCGGAGTGTAACAATAATTGGATTGTGAACGTGACAGTGTTGTTTTTTAGCAGTGAATTGGAGATTTTTTGAGTTGACTATCGTTAAAAAATAAATTGACAGAGAAGTTGGCTGTCAAATCCGAAATAATCGATAGATTAAACCTAAACTTGACGAGGTATTGAAGACATTTTTGGATTGGGTGATACGGATTTATTTTGGTTTAGTGTTTAATGGCGTCATAATCGACGACTTGAACAACGTAATTTTGCGTTGAAAATTTTAGTGAAAATCACTACTAGACAATCATTGTGATTGTGAGAATATGGCAACAACGAAAGCGACCAGTAGTGCTCTTAGGGCCTTAGCTGTTGAATACAAGAGTTTGCAAGAGGAGCCTGTCGAAGGATTTTGTGTAAAGCTGGTGAATGAAGACAATCTATTCGAATGGGAAGTTGCAATATTTGGACCACCTGATACGCTCTACATGGGAGGGTGTTTCAAGGTATTTATAAGTCTTTGTTTGGTGTTTTAACATTACCCTCAAGGAACTGTACAATTTATACTGAGTATTGAGTAGTTGATACCCCACATTGTGAAAGTAAAGTACGTTCAGAGATAATCTATTAAAATCTACAGTAACAATTTAAACATTGACCCTTGAATGAAAATAATTAAAATTACCACGTCACACTTTTTTTTATTTATTATAGTTGTGTTGTATAGCACTAGTGAATAGAGTGCTGACCCATGCTAAGGACAAAGTACCATGACACATACTTTACTTACCTTCAAAACACTTCATTCTTTCCCTTATAAGTACTGTATAACAAAATGATTTTTGTTGTCACGTGTAGTTTAAGCATTGTTTATTATAATGCAAGCAATTTTAGTCTTAAATGTTGGGTAACATACGCCGTTTAAATATATTCAGCTATTACAAAGGATTATCAAAATTTTGAAAGATATTGGTACGGAACAACTTGCAAAATTTTCGTGTGATGGTCAGATGATCTAAATTTAGACGTTTTTGAATCTTGATAATAGAACTCAGTACAGAAATAGCCGTACAAAGGGATCTTCGACTCGTTGTTGGGGGCATTGCCACGTGATTGGTTGTTGCGTTATTTGTTTTCAATTTTTTTATTCTGTTCTATACGGAAGGATAATAAAGAAAATATGTATCTTCAATAGCAAATTGCCACCACATTAACAAGGTAATTATAATTTATTAAAACGTTACCTTGTTGGTTGTTTATTAATGTTGTTAATTAAAGATAACGTCGCAGACAAAACTTTAGTAACAAAGAAACGTCATTTGTGTTCAAATTTTCAGGAGATATTGTTGTGTAATAATTAATTAGTCAAAATTGTATAAGAACATTTACAATTTAATTTTGAAATTGCATAAATCGTATGATTTGCTTTGTTCATGCCGAGGAACTGATGTCGTCTTACAATTTTCTTGAATAATATGTTATTTAAATGTTAAAAAGTAACACAGTCCTGAAATCGTTTGAAAAAAATAGCAAACATAATTAAATAACAATTTTTCTATTTTTAGGATTTTAGATTCCCCGATTTTCAGTTTTTCAATATTTTGGGATTTTTCAACTTGGCGATCCTTCAATTTCTGGATTTTTCGTATTTTCGATTTCTTAATTTTTTTATTTTTCGATTTCTCAAATTTTCGGATATACATATCTGTTTTACTGTTTTTCAATTCTTCAATGTTTCGATTTTTAGTTCGATTTTTCAATTTTTTAATTTTTCGAATTTTTTTTGTTCTAGATTTTTCAGTTTTATATTTTGTCCATTTTTTTCTTAATATATGAAGCCTTGTTTTCCCAACAAGAAACTGACAACATGTTTAACTGTCCTATTATTGAAAAAGAACTCTTATTTATTAACAAAAAAAAACTTAGCCCCACCCACCCGCCCGGATCTCAATTGTGATGAGTTTTTCATTCCAAATCAGACGAAAGGGCGGAATTTAACTGCAAAATCCTCATTTCTCGATAAGAAATTATCATATGAAATATATTTTTACATCAATATTTCTCTAAAAATTTCTACCCTTGTAAAAAAGCATATTTCATATGGTAATTTCTTGTAGAGAAATCAGGAATTTGCAAACAAACTCCGCCGCTCAGCTCATGATGAATAAAACATTCGTCACAATTGACAAGGGGGTGGGTGGGCGGGGCTTATATTTTGTCCATTTTTTTTCTTAATATACGAAGTTTTCTTGTCCCAACCTGAAACTGACAACATGTTTAACTGTCCTGTTGTTGAAAAAGAACTCTATTTATTAACAAAAAAAAAACTTAAGCCCCACCCACCCGCCCGGATCTCAATTGTGATGAGTTTTTCATTCCTAATCAGATCGAAGGGCGGAGTTTAACTGCAAAATCCTCATTTCTCTATTTCTATATTTTGCAAACTAAACTGCGGCCGTCAGCTCATGATGAATAAAACATTCATCACAACTATAAAGGGGTGGGTGGGCGGGTTTTATATTTTGTCGATTTTTTCTTAATATACGAACTCTTCAATTTCCAACAAAAAACTAAAAACATGTTTAACTATCCAGTCATTGAAAGAAAACGTTACATGTTGAAAAATAAAAACAAAAATTAAGCCCCACCCACCCGCCCTGATCTCAATTGTGATGAATTTGTCATTCCTAATTAGATCGAAGGGCGGAGTTTAACTGCAAAATGTTCATTTCTCTACATGAAATTATCATATGAAATATGTTTTTACATCAAAATTTCTTTAAATATTCTACCCTTTTAAAAACATATTTCATATGGTAATTCTTGTAGAGAAATGATGATTTTGGAAACGAAAGTCCGTCCTTCAGCTCATAATAAATAAAACATTCATCACGATCGAGAAGGGGTGGGTGGGTGGGGCTTATATTTTGTCCATTTTTTCTTAATATACGAAGTCTTTTTTCCCAACAAGAAACTGAAAACATGTTAACTATCCTGTTGTTGAAAAAGAACTCTATTTATTAACAAAAAAAAACTTAAGCCCCACCCACCCGCCCGGATCTCAATTGTGATGAGTTCTTCATTCCTAATCAGATCGAGGGGCGGAGTTTAACTACAAAATACTCATTTCTCTACAAGAAATTATCATATGAAATATTTTTTTACATCAATATTTCTGTAAAAATTTGTACCCTTGTAAAAAAGCATATTTCATATGGTAATTTCTTGTAGAGAAATCAGGAATTTGCAAACTAAACTCCGCCGGTCAGCTCATGATGAATAAAACATTCGTCACAATTGACAAGGGGTGGGTGGGCGGGGCTTATATTTTCTCCATTTTTTTCTTAATATATGAAGCCTTTTTTTCCCAACAAGAAACTGACAACATGTTTAACTGTCCTATTATTGAAAAAGAACTCTATTTATTAACAAAAAAAAACAAAACTTAAGCCCCACCCACCCGCCCGGATCTCAATTGTGATGAGTTTTTCATTCCTAATCAGATCGAAGGGCGGAGTTTAACTGCAAAATCCTCATTTCTCTACAAGAAATGATCGTATGAAATTTTTTTTACGTCAATATGTCTCTAAAAATTTCTACCCTTGTAAAAAAACATATTTCATATGGTAATTTCTTGTAGAGAAATCAGGAATTTTCAAACTAAACTCCGCCGGTCAGCTCATGATGAATAAAACATTCGTCACAATTGACAAGGGGTGGGTGGGCGGGGCTTATATTTTGTCCATTTTTTTCTTAATATACGAAGTTTTCTTGTCCCAACCTGAAACTGACAACATGTTTAACTGTCCTGTTGTTGAAAAAGAACTCTATTTATTAACAAAAAAAAACTTAAGCCCCACCCACCCGCCCGGATCTCAATTGTGTTGAGTTTTTCATTCCTAATCAGATCGAAGGGCGGAGTTTAACTGCAAAATCCTCATTTCTCTACAAGAAATTATCATATGAAATATGTTTTTACATCAATATTTCTCCAAAAAAATTCTACGCTTTTAAAAACATATTTCATAAGGCAATTTCTTCTGGAAAAATAAGAATTTTGCAAACTAAACTCCGCCGGTCAGCTCATGATGAATAAAACATTCGTCACAATTGACAAGGGGTGGATGGGCGGGGCTTATATTTTGTTCATTTTTTTCTTAATATACGAAGTTTTCTTTTCCCAACAAGAAACTGACAACATGTTTAACTGTCCTATTGTTGAAAAAGAACTCTATTTATTTACAAAAAAAAAAACTTAAGCCCCATCCACCCGCCCGGATCTCAATTGTGATGAGTTTTTCATTCCAAATCAGACTAAAGGGCGGAGTTTAACTGCAAAATCCTCATTTCTCCATAAGAAATAATCAAATGAAATATTTTTTTTACATCAATATTTCTCTAAAAATTTCTACCCTTGTAAAAAAACATATTTCATATAGTAATTTCTTGTAGAGAAATCAGGAATTTGCAAAAACTACACTCCGCCGGTCAGCTCATGATGAATAAAACATTCGTCACAATTGACAAGGGGTGGGTGGGCGGGGCTTATATTTTGTCCATTTTTTCTTAATATACAGGGTGTCCCAGAATTCGCGCCATTCCCGTGAATGACATGTTCCCTGTCCCGAACTGTGCCGTAATTCGCAAAAAGAATTGTCCAGGCTTTAACCGTGTGAGAACTGGAAGGCGATTAAGTTGACCAATAGAGAGGCTGCTTTTATATCCGAACGTTTCTATGTTCAAAGTTACCTATGCCAAGAACAAAAAATCGGGTAATACTAAAGTTGAATGATTTTTTTCCGAATCCCCCTCCGTCAACAAAAGGAAACAGAAGTGTGGTTATAAATTTAATCATTTTGACAATTGTTTGTCATAAACTGTCACGAAGTTCATCACTGACCTGAAGAGACGCTTCTGCGCCAAAGATGACTGATTAATGTACACAGAGACAGAGACGTTTACTTTAAGGCAAGTAGCATGGGACAGAAGTTATTTCTGCTGCCACTCTAGTTAAATTGTGTTTAACTGGGCTGTACATGTCATAAGAGAAGCTGTTTCATTTCATCGTAGGCAAATAATACATTTATTACTATTCTACATAGAGTAGCTACCGAAGAGGAGGTATTAGAAGTCATTTTCTTAGAGCCCCGTGAATAATCGTCGGCACCCAGACCAACAAGTGTTTCACCGATTGTTACATCGAGCAAGAGAAGATGGATCTTTTCAACCTAGTCGGAAAGGCCGTGCTGGGGCTCCACGGAATGTACGTGTGGGTGCTGAAGAGCAAGTGTTAGAAAACATGGAAGCGGATCCTAGGAGAAGTGTCCTCTATGTAGCGCAAATGAGTGGATGCTCAAGATCGACCACTCATCGTATCCTTCAAGAGAGAATACTGCATCCTTACCATTACACGAGAGTGCAGCATCTGCGACCAACCGACTACCCGTGACGAGTACATTTTGCTCAGTGGTTTTTGCGACAAAATGAACTAAATCCTGATTTTTCA